GTCAAGCATCTTCATGATTCGAATCAAACCTCTCTGATTCAAGTCATGCTTTGATGTGATTCGAATCAGACTCACAAAAGCAAAATCCCATTTTTTAGAACCATGTTTGACTTTAGTAAGACAATTTTGTGATTTAAATCAGACTTACAGAAGCAAAATCCTAATTTCTCGTAATTATTTTGATTCGACTCATCCATTCTCGTGTTTAAGATCACACTTCAATAATTTCAAATTTTAAGAAAATTGAAGTTTTATTCTGAATCAACACTTGACACGACTTAAACCATTCTCATATGATTTTTTTGATCGAAACCTCTGACTTTTGAATAAAAACATATTGTGTTGACCTTAATCAAATAATTCGATTTATGTGTGCGTAAAAACGATTAAGCACTCAACCCTAAAATGCACAACTATGTGAAGAGACTCAATTATGACAATTAAACTAAAAAGTAAATTGACAAGCAACAAAACATAAACCACCATACAGGAATCAATTTCAAACTAAATCTTATGTCACCCTCTATCTTTAGCTATTTCTATAGCTCTCATGACTGCACTAAACTCAACAAGAATGGATGAGCCCTAAGAGACTTACTCTACAAAATACAAAACAAAGTCTCCATTGTAGTCCCAAGAAATGCCACTGCAGCTAGAAATGGAAAATGAATGTGTAGGAACCATCAAGTAGTTGCATTTTAACCAATATACAAGGTTTCGATATTACCTTACCTATTTGATTGAAGGAGCACGAGGGTGGGTGCGTGTGTGTAGACATCAGAATTTTTTATCAAACTAAAATCAGTCATAGAAGTAGAAGAACTTAAAGATCAGTTATTGTTGATAATTTGACTCGAGTCATGAGATTTGTGATTGAGTTGAATCTTGGCTTGTTCATAGCATCCCAATTGTTGTTAATAAGAAAGATAACTGTAACTTTCATTACCAAAGTGCTTTGTTTTGATCTCTCTCTGCTGCAATAGTGCCACCAATCCTCCAACGTGAGAGGTATACTGATTGCATATGTTTTCCTATCCAGAGCCAAATGCCTCTCAGCAGTACAGTTGCAAAGGCTACACATGGATCCCTTTGAAATGCCTCTCCTTATAAGCATGTCATATGATGGAGGGGGAAATTTCCTTACTCCGGATTACTTTGCTTAATATATCTATGCGGAGATGGGATTTGAATAGGTAAAGGTTGAGAATGCTAGAGTCTGAGTTAGACCAGATCATTACATCTCTATCACTATTTTCCACCAAATAAGCTTGTGAGAAATAAAGGGGAACAATTCAATCGAGTTAGGAGGAGCCACTAACCATCATGAATGAACTCAGAAACTGTGGAGTTTCATATATGCCTTGACTGTGAAGAAACTCCAAGCTAGTTTCATATTTGACTAGATGTTGGCAATGTAATCTTTTCATTTAGCATGCAAAGTCTACATGCTAATTTTTTTTTAATTGAGAGACCATGTTATGGGGGGTTAACCTAGCATCAAGCAACATGGGAAAATTATTATACTTGATTCTAGTTAAATGAGAGATTGTCAAAGTAGTGTTGGTCGTTAACAAGTCCTGATTACAAAGATCTCTATCAAGTTTCCTCTCAACAGAACCACTATCAAGCCTCCCATTTGACAAAGTGAAGAAAGAACCCTTTGTGGGACGATCAACTAGGTTATTTTGGTCTTACCGGAATTTAAAGTCATTCATGTGAGTTTTGTTAGGAATATGGCAATCTATATGTTAATGAGTACCTGAAATTGCATTGAAGTCTCCTAGAAAGCACCAAGGCACTAAGAGAGAGGATTGATTAATGGAGAGCTCCCTCTATAGTCTTTTTCTACTTAAATGGCATGTTGAAGCATATATGCAGCAATTCCAATTTGTATAGAATCAATTGCTAAGGTAAAATAGACATGTTGATCAGATCAAGAAGTTACTTGAGGATCAAGTAACTTATTACAAATGCACTAAATATTTTGAAGCAAATTTTCTTTTGAGTTGTGTGCAAAATTTTTTAAGCCTAGAGATTTCCAAAAAGCGATAGAGAAATTCTCTATATTCGTCCAAGACTTTACTAGAAGAAAAAAAAGAGACTATTTTATGAGTTTTTATAAGGTTTTTAACACCAAATCTTGTGGAGAAATTGACGAGACCCTTAGAATTGAAATATAAGACTTTAATAAAGAAGGCTTATCAAGACCATCTTTAGATATGGTTGAATAAACACTTTTTAATTTGGACTATTACCTTAGTTTATTTTTCAGGAAGTCAGATAGAGCCAGTTGAAAATGTATAAAACTGGCTCAAAATCTATTTCTTCCTATGAAAGAACTTCATTCTCTTTCCTATCTGTCATGCTGACCCAAAATTTCTTAAAGAATGCTTCATTCTTATCATGAGTTTCTTCAATGGTCACATCGGTATCATTAGCTTGTGTTGCATCAACACAATCTAAATCATTAGAGCTAATACTTCCATTTATGCTTTCTTGATGTTTGTATCTTATAGGTCTTAAACTCCAATATGCATTGACTATGCCCCCAAAAGGTTAATCTTCAACTTGATTCACTTGTTTTATAGTAGCAATTGCTATAATGGCACCAGGGTCAACCTGAGTTGTATGAATTTCCGAACCAACTTTAATCATCACATTGGATTCTCTTGCATTTGTTTGTATCTCATTTTGTTTATTTAGAGTCAAAGTCAACAACTTTTGTGTTTGATTACTTTTGTTTATCCTTTTTCACTGCAAAAACATTTTTAGTGTCACCTTTTTGTTTGATTTTAACTTTATTTATATATTGCCCAACTTTCCTCCTGCAGTTATTGTCATAGTGGCTAATTCCATTGCAGAAATTACAAGACTCATGAATTTTTTCATATTATATTTCTAAAAAGAACGTGAAGCATATCCTTTCAATTAAGATTTTGTACCTTAACTCTTTTAGAAGATCAATGTCAACAAAAACTCTAACATAGTGTTCAAAAGCATGATCAAAAGGTGAACTGTTTAAAGTGGAATTTATGCATATTGGGTGGGGTGCCAATGCTATTCGGAATCGCGAAAATGATTTTAGACCTCCAATAATCTTGAGAGAATTCATGGATCCTAACTCAAACTCGAGCAAAGGTTTGATTAACATTGGTTGGTGTGAAATCTCTCATTTAAGGAAATAGCTTTAGCACACTCGAACTCAGGTTCCAAGAGTCCATTGACCTAACTCTACGTACATTTTCTAAGGTCAAAAAAGAGAACTCAAAAATCTTTTAATAATGATGTCATACTTATTTACCAATGGAATGCCACAGGGTTGCTAACTTTCTATACAAGCGAGATGAATTGATCCTTTAGACCACAAATTGTACAATGAAAGTTGTCCTTTAGACCACAAATTGTACAATGAAAGTTGTGCTTACATGAATCTAGACCTAACATATAACATCTTCATGGATGGAGATAGCCAACATATCTCCCTTAACACAAGGTATTGGAAGTTTATTTTGTTGAATATTGCAAACATTGCATAAAGCTTGAATGAATGACTTAACGATTTTGATTATTGGCGTGGATGTGGTATGTGTATTTGTACCAGCAGTTTTATATTTAATTTTATGAGGTTTGCCATGTTGACACTAAATTACCTGCAATGTATTTGTACACCATAACTATTTCAAAACATTTTAAGAATGACACACAAATCAAGGCAAAAAAAATATTAAAAAATAAAAGATACATGTAATGGTATGTAAATACGGTATAAATGTAATTTTAAGTGTCACCCTATCATTTCTCTTAATTTTATAGACCTATTACTCACATCTATAGAAATTTTAAATAAATAAAAAACCGGTTTTCTCTTCTTTCTTTTCTCTATATCGGTTTTCCACTTTTCGGTTCATATCGGACCGGACGTGCACACATCAACTTTCGACCAATTACTATTCACACCTCTCCATCAACACCTCCAAACTTTCTTCCATGCTTTTGTTACAACTTCTCCACTGATTGATTCAGAATGCTCTAGATTCGGTTCCTCATTTCTTTCACCACTTCGTTGAATTTCACACTATCAAAGCAAACTTCTCAAGGTCATTTTCTGTAAGGTTCTCTCCAATTTGTTCTATTTCTGTTTCATTACAAATACATGATACCCTAAACGGGTTCTAGATTTCTTCGAATTGATATTGATATTCATATATGATAAAATTTATTCATTTTAAAATCTGTAAATGATGCTGTGAAAAGTGAAAACACAATTTAGCTTCCTAGATTATGCCTCAGTTTTTGGATTGTTGAAATTTTAGAGGAAAAATTAGTGGTATTTTAGTTTACTATATGTTAATTCTTCTGGTTTTATTTATAATAGAAAGTTATCTGATTAGATTAATTGAATAATCAATATGTATCTGATCAATATAATATACTATACGTTGAGTATTCAATGAATTTAAAAAGTATACTTTATCTTATAAATAGGATCAGAGGTAGTACTAAGTATCAGTCCATGGCCGAATGCTAAAAATCGGCCATATAAAGACATCCGAGTGGCCTATGGTGCCACCACGGAAGGCATCCCTTCTCAAATTGCATATGGCAATTGTCGAAAAAATCCGCCATTCAAAGTCCCACATTAATTTCTCTACTCATAGTGCATGTTTAGTAAATCATCAAGTTAGAAAAAATTGCTTTAAAAAGTCACTTTAACGCAGAAGCTCCATTTTTCACGTTAAGAGAGCCTCGGAATTTGATTTTATCTCTGCAAACGCTGTTCCAAACATATATGCATAGTATTTCTTCTTGCTTGCTAGAAAAAGTTGTATAATAAAAATGTACTACTATATATATGTTTGAATTTATTTATTTTGAATAACTTAACCATTAAATCTCTTTAATTTTCACCCGTCACCTCATTAGATGTTGATGGTTTTATTCTCTCTGAATTCTATAGTGTCATTGGTGAGAGATAGTTAAATACACTCTTCGTACTAATAATGTGGAAAAAACTCGGCGAGTCTTTGTCCGGAGATAATGAAGAACAAGAGGAGAGCTTGTTGGGTGGGGAATCAAGTAGCCTCTCTACAACACAGGTGCTGTCAAAACTTTTTACATAAGATCAAGCTGTTTGGGATTTCACTGTAGTCTATTCTGTTCTAAGTTATGCCACTTTTGACTGTTGATTAAACAGAGACTTTATGCATTTGCTGCTTGCTCGATTGCTGGTCTCGTTTTAATGTTACTGGTAAGAGAAATGTGTGTCCTCTTTTTATGTGTAATTTATGCTATGTATGTGATTTATTTATCTTCTTATATTTAGATTTTGACTTGTTCGAATTTCATGATGTACCTGAATCCCATATGATATGACCAATCAAGTATATTAAGTAATCATGTAGTTAGCTTAGGCGCAGAGACTTATTTGAATGGAATAGAAATCATTCTCCTACATACTAAGGCCATTGATATTACAGTTTCTCTGGTGGTATTGAAATTGAACGGTGTTTCTCTACATACTGTACTTCATCCAGATAGTGAATTGCGAATACCTACAGTAAGATTTATTCTGGCATTTCGTCTTCAATAGGCAATTCTCCCACTACCTGGAAGTATAGAAATAACTTCAACTTTCTATCGAGCTTTTTTTTTTCTATATCATGACAGTTACTTTCTTAGCTTCGTTCGATGCTGCAACTTGCGAGAATCTTTATAATGGTTGACCTTAACCATATTTGTCTTTCCAGGACTTGGTTTTGGAGAAAATCCTAAAACACAACATTCCATATACTGGGAATTTTAAAAATCTTGATGTTCTTTGGTACTTCCCATTTTTGAATCCTTAATTTACAAATATCCTTACCTAAGGAATTTGTTAGTATTTATAAATAATAATTGGACTGTGGAAATTTGGTGGATGAAATACCAGAGGCAGAGACTTTCTTACTTTAAATCACCGGAATGCATGTAAGCCCAATTAAATAACACTCCTAGCATAACAAAAGATTAGCAGTGATGAGACAGAAGACAAGAGAAATTTGAAACTATCATTGTGTATGAGTATTGGCTTCAATACAGCTTGATACTCCCTCAGTCTCATAATAAATGTCTTATTTGAGCTATGCGTGGTTCTTAAGAGAAAATGATTAATGTTGATTTTAATGACTTTCTAGCTTGGTTTTGGTTAAAAAGCCATAATTCTTTGAAGTCTACATGTACAACCATTATGTATAAAAACCTGTGTGATTTTGGTAACTATGTCGAAGTAAGACTGTTAAAAGAAGTCTTTGTCTAATGCTATCAGGTAGTACTTTCACTCTTTTTAAGTAACTTACCTTGTCTTTGAAGCTTTTCAGACTATTTTTCTCCTGGAAACCATGGTAACTTGGCTCGTAAATGTAATAGTGGTCAGAAAAGATGTTGAATGTTATATATACTGCGTAACTTATGGTACTTCACGCAAAAAATAATATATTTTGTCCTGTTGATGTGAAAGTTTAGCAACCTCAACCAAATGGAGTTGATTACTTGCAAATACTTGTTAATTTAAAAGCTTAGCAACCTCAACTAAATTGAGTTGATAACTTGCAAATACTTTCTTTAATTATTTTCTTTCTATTTTGCAGTCTATGATTGTTTTTGCCAAACCCATCAAATTTGCCATATTGTTCACCTTTGGCAACCTATTAGCAGTTGGAAGGTAGCATAGTTTTCCCCTTATTGACGCATGATTGTTTTAGAAATAACTTTGTCAAGCTATATACAGAGAAGATAATGTTTTAGTTGAGGATAACATTAGCAAGTCCAAATTGATTTCTATTCACAAATTCTAGTTATAATTATTTTCATGCATACAACCATCCACCATACCCTGACAAAATAAATGAAGAGAAGTGAAGCCATCTAAAGCTTTTCTTCGGTCTCCTTTGTCCTCTTCAATATTGGAGCTTTTTCCTGTGTTTCCAATGTCTTTATCGATAGGACTGGATGCTATTTTCATTTGCCTTTCTTCTTCTAATATCTGGGCAGGATGTGTTTTTCTACTCTCCTGTTTTTTTTTCTAATATGGAAAGATATGCTTAGGCTTACCATTGAGTGAATTGTGAATATGCTATTACAGCAGATCGGTTCATTTTTATGCTTCTAAATTCCTGTATTTAGTTCAATTAATTAATAGACCGTCCAACTTTGTTTCGTATATCTGGCAGTACAGCCTTTCTTCTTGGACCGGCACAACAAATGGAAATGATGTTTGACCCTGTTCGTGTTTTTGCAACTTCCATCTACCTTGGATGTGTGGTTATAGCACTTATTTGTGCTCTCTTGGTAAACCTTTGATCTCTATAAAAATATTATATATTGTTATATTTCTATGGTATACTAAGAAAATTTGAAAAGTTTCAGAAAATCTGTTTTCCCCATTTGATGATAGGATTTGTCTTATCTTTCTTATAAGTGAACAACTTACTTTAGAGTGTCAATAAAATGTCAAAATGTCAACTTTTGATGGATAAAATCTCTTGGAATTGTGGTTGGGCTTAACAGAGCGTTACAAAACCAGCTTGTATGGTGAGAAATGTCCCCACTTATAAACACATATCTTTAGGTCATATCTCATTCGATACGAGACTCTTAAAAAAATCATTGATTGGTAATAGATAACCACGCATACAAAATCACGAGCATGGCATGTCAACTCTTGATTTTTCTTATTTGTTTTACACTCTAATGACTTTTGGAGGAACCAAACACCATTTTTTGTGTTTTGTAGATCCATAGCAAGGTGTTGACATTACTTGCAATCATCATTGAGATTGGCGCATTTATTTGGTAATTTTGCCTTCATCATTCCGACTTAAATTTCTGACATCTGATATGATAACCACGTATTTATATGATTACGTAGATCAGTAATAGTTGGAAGTTGTTACAGGTATAGCCTAAGTTATATCCCTTTTGCTCGAAGAATGGTTTCCAATTTGATGATCAAATTATGTGATACAGAGCTCTAAACCATGAAAATAAAACCAAAGATGTCTCGTGCGGTCTTTTGATTTTACGGACTGATTTATGGTGAAGTTGGTATTTTTTGAGTGCTCATGAAGCTTGTTGGCCTTTATTTGGAATTCATCTTCCACGCCCCTATTCTTTTCCTTTCACATCTAAAAAGACTATGAATTGAAATTTTGTTTGCACAAAGTTGCTTTGTTGTAAAGGATGCAGAGAAGTTTGTTTTTCATTTTCTGAAAAGGTGTTTTTGTTAAGAAATTTAAGTTTTGTTGGGGGAGTTTGGAGGGAAAGGGAAGGAAAAGCTTTGAAAAATAGGAAGGATTTTAGAGGGTTTGTTTTTATTCATAATGCTAGAAACTCTTTAATTTGGAGTAACTCAAATTTTGTATTGGAGGAGAGTTTTTAAGAGCATAGATAAATAGTTTAAATATAATTCTTGTTGTTATAGTATTTTAAAAATTAAAAATATATTAATAATAAATATTATTTTATCATTCTAAACAATTAAAAAAAAAATTATTAAAAAAATTTCTATATTTTTTAAATTAAATTATTTCTGAAAGTCCTTCCTTCCCCATCCTCAAATTCTCAAACAAAGTATATAAATTTAATATAAAATTAGTCTTGGTCTTTCTATTTATCCATTTATTGCTCTAGTCTCTTTATTTCAAAGTCAAACCGTTTTTGGTTTTTTTCCTCTCCACATTTTTGTATTTAAAATTGATAAGATGACTAAATTTAAATAATGTGTCTCTTGTATTGTTGATATGTCACATTTCATAAAGATTTATATACATTAAACTGTCATATTTCACAAGTGACATATTATTAAAAGAGCATTGCTATATATAGCGAAAAAGAAGAAAATTCTCACGAATTTCACAAATGGCAATTTTATATATCTAACTGTTTTGTTGAGGACAAATAATAAAGTATAGTACTTTCCCCAACCTTCTCTCCGTGTGTCAATATAGCTTATTATTATAAAATCATAAAATTGATGTAGGTTAAACTGATACAATTGATGATATAAAAATAATATAAAAGTAAAATTCAAGATAACAACCCATTTTAAGCCAGAGGTGTTTATGAAAACATGTGTTTCTTTAGTTTAATTGTAAGGGATAATGTGCTGATAAATTTGATTGTGCTAAATTCTGATAAATTTTACATATTTGTTATTTTTTTAGTGAAAGTACTTTCGCTGTATTAAAGCATTATCCTTATTAAAAATGTACACATTTTCAATTTTGAATTTTAAAGTCTAAGATTCTTAAACAATGAATTTTTGTAGAGTTCTTTCAAAGTTAAATTATAGTCTTAAGCTAAACTATAGTCTAGATCTTTCTATTTTATCCATTTATAGATCTAGTCTCTTTATTTTAAAGTCAAACCGTTTTTGTTTTATTTTCTCTCCCACATTTGTATTAAAAAATGATAAGATATCTAAATTTAAATAATGTGTCTCTTATATTGCTGATATTGTCAATGTTCTAAAAAATTCATATATGCCGAACTGTCATATTTTATGAGTGACACATAGGAGTGTTCATGAGTATAGATCAAACCGCGAATTCACTCACTCAATTTAACTTAACTTTTATTTTTATTCAATTCAATCATGTGCGAGTCTAACTCATTTAAGCACATTCAAACTCATTGGTATTTAGTCAGGATAACGGGTTTGAAGTTTTAAATTCACGAGCCTGCGAACCCACCCTATTGATATGTCACACTATTTTTATTTTATTTTATTTATAAACTATTTATATTAATTCTTATAATGCATATATTTTTTTTTAATATAATTATAGTTTTTATTAATTGTAAAAGTCTTCTAAATCAAACTTGAGAGATCAATTTTATTTATTCAAAGAGAGATATATCTTTTTAAATTATACTTTACATCATTTGTATATTTTTCTAATAAAAGAGTTTTTATAACCAATAAATATTATTCAAATTGAATATGAAAAGTTTATGATTCTTTTAATGTTTTTGTAATATAAATGTGTTAACTAAATTGATATATTTCATTTAGAATTTGAAAAATATATTTTGTGGATGACTCACGAACCCAATCCAACTCAATCCATTGATAAGCGGATTGATTTGGATCGATTTAGTTTTAAAAGTACGGGTTAGACACTCAACTTAGCCCAAAAAATATTGATTTTGTCGACTATTGAATTTAATTAAATTATATGCAACCCGACCCGCAAACACCCATAGTGACCCATTATTAAAAATAAATGTACACATTTTTTATTTTGAATTTTAAAGTATAAGATTGTTAAACAATGAATCCTTGTAGAGTTCATCGAAATTTAATTATAGTCTTGGTCTTTCTATTTTATCATTTATAAATATAGTTTCTTAATTTCAAAGTCAAACCATTTTTGGTTTTTTCTCTCTATATTTTTGTATTTGAAATTGATAAGATGCCTACATTTAAATAACGTGTCTCTTATATTGCTGATATACCATATTCCACAAAGATTCATATACAACGGATTGTCACATTTGACAAGTGACACATTATTAAGAATGTACAAATTTTAAAATTTAAAGTATAATATGAGAATTAAAACGGTTCAAACATAAAAAAAGTTTAATGTTGTGAGTGAGTTAAAACATAATTTAGTCTTAGTGTTTACCATCATAGACGATGGGATTAAGGATAGCAAGTCCTAGAGAACAAATTAAGGTCCGTCCTAAAAACACCCCTAATAAAAATATATGATTGAATAAAAATTATTAGATGACATAACGAGTAATATTATGAAACATGTTCATAAGAAGAAGGTTATGCACTCTCAAAAATCTTAGATATCACCTATAAAGAGAGTAAAATATCATAATAAATGTAAACACTCTCTCTAAAACCTAAATACATTCTTCTCTACCTTATTGAGTCACTAACTTATGTGTTAGAGTGCTTATAGGTACCGCTCATCCTTTGTCCTGCACAGAGAAGAGTATTAACGCAGGAAGCACGCTTGGAATCTGTCATTTTGTCAAAGTTGAATATGTCACCAAGACATTTTAGATCCAGATCGGATCATTGGCGCGTTCAATGGTAATTGATGTTTATCGTATATTATTTCCTTCCGTTCCATAGCAAATCTCATGTTCCATCAACATACCAACCCTTGACGAACGAAGATTCAAGACCCCAACAAAATTAGAAAACAACTCAACTTTGGCTCATTCTCAAAACCCCGTCTCGTATGAGTATTCAATTCGTGGGATGATTGTATGCACCAACTAGAAAGATTTACCCATAAAATCACACTTTAAAGCGAAAAACGCGACATTCATCATATTTTCGTCGTTGACAACCACCATTCACTTTATGATGAGAGTTGTTGTTTTCTCTCATGGTTTGAATACTTCACAACATCTCCTCCTTCACTTAAACCCAAAACTACAAGCATCTCTTACTTCATTTCCCACAAACCCACCACCATCTCTTATGTTGTTTCTTTTACTAACCATTCTTCGACGAGTTAAGCATTTGAATCACCTTTTGCATCACCATTCTCTTTTGTCTCTTTTGTATTATAAGTTAATATTTTAGGAATTAGCGACCTATATGTATTTTTAGATGCAACCTAAGAAGGGGGGTTGAATTAGGATTGCTGGATTTTTTTTCTTTGTTTTTGCATTAATTAAGTTTCTTAACTTGTTAAAATGTTGTAAGCATTAACGATTTATGAAGAAGGTAAAATTTAGAATTTTAAAGTGCATAAAATAAATAACACAATGGTTTATACTAGTTCTCTTTATCAACTTAAGTGTACGTCTAGTCCCTCTATTCCCTTAGAGAATTTTCCATTATGTTTATATTTGGGACAAGTGGCATTGAGGTCGATGAATTCAACGCATATACACAATTGTTTGACGTCTTCCTCACAAAAACTATATTCGCCAGCCATGAAAAGTATTTGATCCCTATTATGAAACAGACATTTGTCAGCTTCTAAACTTCTTCCTCTATGGCTATTCTCTTTTCTTCGCCAATTTTCTGGTTTCTATGAAATATTAGCTTAATTATTAATGACATCTCGACAAGTGTACCTATAGTGTAGAAGTAATAATTGAAAAGACCGTCTCCATGAGGATTGTAATTTAACAAAGTAATTATGTGTGAATTAAAGTAATAACAACTGGGGTTTTCCAGAGTTTATTTGGCTCGCAAATATAGACAGAAGAAAATTCAATAATGAGAAGAGATTAGGTATTTATTTCAAGTCCTTTAATTCTACATGTTGATGATTGATACATTTACCGAATTTCTAACTTGTTATCTATTACGGCGAATTAACAAGGTCACTACACCCAATTTCTTGGTATACAGCTCACTAAATTACACAATAATTTCCTAATTCCTTAGCCCAATTTAGAGTTAACTTAGATGTTATTCGTTTGTTAATTCAAAAACCACAACTTCTAATTACCTATTCCTAGTTAATTACAAAGTTGAATAACTTCCCTAGATAAGATCAATAGACGAATGATCATAAATCCCAACTCATTTAATATCGATTCATGAATTCGGCAACACATAAAAAAACATTAAAATAAAGGAAATATTAATAATAGCAACAAGATAAAAGAATTCAATAAATATCAAATAACTATATGATCCAACAAGGTACAAGTAAGTTTGTCCCCAAAAGACCTAATTTAAGGAATCCAACTACTAATGTTGCATGAAATAATTACCATGAATATAGATGAAGAAATCATGAAATACAATGAAGAATGATGTCCTCAATGGCTTCTAAAACATCAAAATCCTCTTTTTAGAGCTCTAAGCCATCACTTTATCTCCCAAATTTGTGAGCTCCTCAAAAAGTAGCATAAAAGGTCTTTTATCGCATAACTATTGTCATAATCGCGCCACAATGGTAATTATCGCACACTCAATAATTCCAGGGGCTACATCTCCTTTTTATCTTTCTTTTATAGAAAGTATCGTCTCAATATGAGTTACCAA